AGAACGTCGAATCTGAATCACTTGAAAAAAACACGGGGGTGCTTAACTTTTTTCCAGGTGTATATATATAGCAAAACTGAAACCAACTTTGTATTGTGATTTTTGAAAGATATGAACAAAAGTAGTTTTACTGTTGAATCTTTACCAAACAGTAACCATTTTTATTTTTTGTTTCCAAGTCACTCACCCCTTATTCATAACAATAGGAGTTTCTTTGGTATAACACATAAGCAAATGGCAGACACGAAATCTTAAGTTTTGAAACAGCAGAGTTGAAATTGATTACATCTTCTTGAATATGATTGAAATCTCATGCTCGTTCCACATCAGCGGTGTCGCTTAAAAACCAAGGAACAGCTGGAGCCAGCAATAAGTCATTGCTTGGTTTCTACTGACATTAGTCAGCTTAGCCCAACACTGAGCAAAGAAGCTTAACAAAAGAAAGATATGTGTTCGAGTATACATACGACAGCGTTACAGCTTGAAACTACTAACTAATTCGGCTTTCTTTTCTCATCTCACCGTCTCTATAATTACACGTAATAAAGGTAAGTTGAACAACTCGCTAGACGTCTAAATGAAGTAGGACAACTGTAACACAGCTATACTTTAACTCTACGATGAGTTTCTATTAATCTAGAACATTGAATTTCTGGATTTATGTTCAGCTTTAATGATCCCACTTTCAAATACTTTTCAATTGCTGGTAGCCACTACACACACATATATAAATATATATATATATATATACTTAGAGGCTTAGTACCTATCAAAATAGCATAGGAAAGACGTAAGATAAAACTAAACAGGAAAGAAATAGAAAGAAAAATAGCATCAGCTCAACTCCTATATGTACATTATATTTACGTCACACTAAATCTGGCTATGTGCAACATAATTATAGAAGGAAAAATAGCATCAGCTCAACTCCTACATGTACATTATATTTACGTCACACTAATTCTGGCTATGTGCAACATAATTATAGAAATAAGAAAGAGTGCTGGATAAAATTAAATTGCACCGCTATAATGATGTTCTGCAATGCACTAGTAAGTTACTTCAACGATCTTAAGCTTACTTTTTCTCAGCTGTTTTATGTTTTACTTATAATATATATATATATATACTTTACTGTTCTGGCTTTTTGCGTATGATTAATTTGAACTTGTCTTTTTTTTTCCTGTCTAATTCGTAAGTATCGTGAGTATCTGGTTTTACTGTTTAATAAAATAATCAGATGTATTTAATGTGGACAGACTTGCTAAACACACAAATACCTGTAACATAGCTCCAACCTTCTATTGTGTACACATTATTTTAAGTACTAAGTCGTCTAAATCGGACACTGAATTCTTCATTGTCAAATGACACACGAACAAATAATGGTGTTTTTCATGTCTTGCTCTATTTCTCACATGTTTCTTACTTAATATGAATTTTGAATGTGCTTATTGTTAAAGATTTATACACTTATGCATCATTCAAACCTTCAAGAAATACTTGCTTTACATATGCGTTATTTTGAAGCCATGTATTTTGTTACTCGAGTTTAATGGTTACATTTTCTTACTATGACATTAGCTAATGCCTAAACAATGAGTAAACTTGTCATTATAAGATGGAAAAGGTTCACAGAAAATGGCTGTTGACGTCAGCAATTCTTTGGACAATAAAGGCATGTTTTATAAGATTAAAATATCTTTTAGTCGTAATACTACAGAAATGTGACGACTTTATATATACATATACATTTATACCATTATAAGATAGAAAATGTTCACAGAAAATGGCTGTTGACGTCAGCAATTCTTTGGACAATAAAGGCATGTTTTATAAGATTAAAATATCTTTTAGTCGTAATACTACAGAAATGTGACGACTTTATATATACATATACATTTATACCATTATAAGATAGAAAATGTTCACAGAAAATGACAGTTGACGTCAGCAATTCTTTGGACAATAAAGGCATGTTTTATAAAATTAAAATATCTTTTAGTCGTAATAATACAGAAATGTGACGACTTTATATATACATATATATTTATACCATGATGCCAATCCATATAAAACAGTAGAAGAAACCCCAATGCGCATTATAGAATAACTAATTAAGCTCGTATAGGTATGAATTATCGATGTTTCCATGTGCCTATATAAAACAGTGTAATACATTGTAAAGTTAGTTCTTTATACAATATTTTAGCGTAAAACTATTCTAGACTTGAGGTAGGTTAAACTTTTATATAACATGATTACAAACATGTTTTGTGTATGGGATATTTGTTCGTGAAGATAAGATACAGTTTTTCCAGACCCTATTCTATAGTTTTTTTATAAAACAAGCTTCCTTTAATGTCTGAACAACGTGTACATCTTATGAACAAGTCTTTATTTCCATGAAATAACCAAAACACCGTTGGTTGACATTCAAAACGAAAGAAATTAGGGTAAATAACTTTATTTCGGTACTAACAACACAGAACTATATTATAAAGAACTGTTTCACCACCATTAAACGTGCAGTATCGGCATATTATTTATATTAGTTAACTTCTAAGCTAGAAAATTGAGTTTTAAAACCACAGTACATGAAACTAAAAATGAGAAGACGTAAACTTGGAGAGAGTTCTAAGCTAATTACTAATATTTGCTTAAGGTAAATCAAGATCATATTAAGAATGATTACATAAACAAGTATCAGAATACTACTGCAATGTAAATATACATACTTAGACACATATTTATACACATACAAACAATTAGATAGGTGGATAGTTACGTATATTTAACCATTTTTAATGAGAACTAGATGTTAAAATTTTGTGAATACAAATTTTCACGGCTGTTAATAATGAACCCCATATAATTACTTGTATCGAATTTGCTTCTGAGTCTGAAGTGCATAGAACAATAAACAAACAAGAAGATAGCCACTCAGATTCCTTTTTAATAAAATAAAAGTCCATAATTTAAGACTAACAGTATAGCTTACGGACTAGGCTGTAACATTTTTACCACCCTCCATTTATATTCAGTCGATTTTCTAAAACGAAAGATCATTTCTGAAACCATAAAATATTTTGATTCAGAAAGCTGACAAAGCATTAGAAATCAGTATTCCTACAATTCACAAAAAATTACGTTAATTTCTGTTCGTTTCAGATTAAAAATCAGAGGAGGGTAAAACAGTATTTCGGATCTATCATTTGTCTCTCACAAGTCATTGCCGAAGAGGCCTTTCGTCGATACCAGAACACGTCATTTAGACTGCACGAGAAGAGAGAATTTTTTGTCTCTCATGAATTGCAATACTGGACTGCTTTAGTGACAGTCCCATGATTTGAAAATGACGATAATTTTTTTTAGAATCGAGTCACATTACTTTTTAAAGTTACTCTTGTTACCTTGAGTCCTTCTTCGAGGTACAATACAAAACGACTATGTTTTAACGCACTTACTAAATTAAAAACATAACTCTAAAATAGAAATAATAGCTATCGTCGAATCATGCATTTTATTTGAAAATAAAAATGGGTTGCATTTTATTCATTTTTTTTTTTAGTTTGTCTCTGGTTACATAATTTACTCCATAATAGTGAAAACTCACATTTGATTTTAAGATAGATATTTTAACTTTGATATACTAATTGAATCCTTTGGCTTGACTCCGGTTACGTAATTCACTCCATTATAGTGAAAACTCACATTTGATTTTAAGATAAATATTTTAACTTTGATATACTAATTGAATCCTTTGGCTTGTCTCCGGTTACGTAATTCACTCCATTATAGTGAAAACTCACATTTGATTTTAAGATAGATATTTTAAATTTGATATACCAATTGAATCCTTTGGCTTGTCTCCGGTTATGTAATTCACTCCATTATAGTGAAAACTCACATTTGATTTTAAGATAAATATTTTAACTTTGATATACTAATTGAATCTTTTAGTTTGTCTCCGGTTACGTAATCTAAACATTTGATCTGGTGAAGTCAATTCAAACAAAAACCCACCTGAATGTAATATTGAAGCTTCTAATATCCTTGAACTTTCAGTCAATAACAAGGAGTTTCGCCTGAAATGGGTGCATAAGTTGAGCCTTAACAACTTTTCAATTCCTTGAACAAAGATATAACTTTTGCACTCTTTCAAATAATAAAACCTCGTATCTTCTAAAATATTTGCACTAAATCCTAACTGGGATACTAAATCTTAAGAATGTCATTACCAGTAAGATTGTGAACTGTTCTCTCCTTGTCCGTGCACGACCACGCGCCGTTCACAACTGCCTGAAGCGAATGCTGACAGCCGCATATCCTTCTAACTTTTTACTTCTCGGGCCAGCTCAACCAGCCAACGTTACTGGAAGTGAGATAGCAACGCTGATAAAAATTAGCGTTGTTACTTTGCTTCAAACACTTATTTGTGTTTATATTTCATCAGAAGAGGCAGATGGTTTTTATCAGGGGACTTAACCTCAACCAGACTGTGAACCTTGTAGCTTTACTTAACCCAAAGCACGTGGTTTGATAATGTTTAATTGCTAAATGATTTGTGGCACACATCTTCCTCTGAACGATTACAAAACCTGTCACACCAAGTCGCACGTGCAAAGCCTTAAAGATAGCACATATTCTCTTGAATATCTATAGTACTAAGTGGTTTGAAGCTTTATCTATAAATTGTTTTACTCTGTGTTCGACAACATAGCCCCGTTATTTCGAAGTAATAAATATAAGTTAAACTGATTTATATTTGCTGTACTTTGTTTACGGTTGAATTAAAACACACTTTCAAAAAATGAAGTGATACCAGTCATTGTGAACTCTATACACAACAGATATAAATTATACGTTTTGAAAATGTCCCTATATGTAATCAACCAAATTTGATGACACGTGGCGTTTCGGCTGTTTTTTTTTTCTTTTTTCAGAATTAGATGAATATGTTATTTGTCAATACTCAATAAATAGGTGTAATTTTGTGTTTCAAAAAAGTCTAAACTTTTTACAAGGAATGTGAGTATAACCAATGGTTATTTTCTAATCAACTAATCTAGGAAAGACAGCTAGTCACAATCACTCAACGCCAACTCTTGGGTTACTCTAATCAAATAGTGAATATTTTACATTGTAACACCTTCACGGCTTAAAGAGTGAGAATGTTCATAATGGGATTCGAACCCGCAAATTGTGAAATGAGTACTCTAACCATTAAGCTATGCCAAATAAATGAAAAAGAGCAATTTTAAGTAAGATAATATTTTAACAGTTTATTTCGTTACCCTTTATATAGAAACTTAATAAACTCGTTTATTTTCATTATTGCTGTATACATTAAAAAGCCAGAATCCCCCGTGGTAAAAAAACTTTACCAGCAGGTAGCTGTACTGATGTTATATATAGTTTTTAGGTAAACAGATTGACAGTCATCACCTCGGTTTGTTCTCTTGGCGACTGTTGTTTTGAAATACTCTGCTGTTTTAATCAGACAGCTTTACTCTGAGAATTATACTTTTTGTGTTTCATAGGAACAGTTTTACTCTAATGACATTATCTTCATGTTCTAAGGGTACAGTCATATCATAACCATCTTCATATATATATAAAGTCACTAATACTGTAAAAGCTCCTTTCTAAGGTTACAGGAAAAGAACTATAGTGTGATAATTTATCTTGTGCTCCAGTAACATACATATACAGTGATAATGTAGCCCCCCTTCATTCTACAGTTATCCTGATTCTTTGTGTTTAAGGAAGACTATTGGGATATTTTAATCGTGTTTATGATGCGGTAAGGCTGTATTTCTCTCACATTCTCGGATGGTTGTTAGTTTAAATAGTATTTCAATGTATTTAAGACAGTGCCTCCTAGGGGTCAATCTGAAGCTCTACTAAGTCCTACAGTGGATTGACGACGTCATGTTAAAACAGTTAATATCCAAATCAGCACCGCAAATTACACCACAACCACAGCGGGCATAAAGTTGCGGTGGAAAAACATGTACCAGTGCTAAATTTTGATATTAATTAGCATTCGGAGACAATATGATGTGAATGAAAATTTATCACCTTTGGGAAGGGTATGAAACAGCCATTTCCAATACAAAATATTCATTCACCCATACCCTAAAGATGTGTTCAGATTGAAATTTCAATTTCCATGACAGACATATCCATTATACTTCATGACGTAGAATAAAAAAAGAATATGGATCAACTACGAACACTACGACCACCTTAAAAGAAACCTGCAAAAGTCATGCCCCAGCCGTTGTAAATAAAATGTGGTGTCTTATAACAAGCAAAAAGCCACGAACACGATGATCAGTAGAAAAAGGCGTCCATGTACCCCAAGAAACAGTATGTAACACAATAAAGAACAATATCAGTTTGGAAAAGTAACACAAGTCACGTGAACACAATTTGCTTCCATGACTTATCCGTTAAATCATGGCATACCTCATGCAACTGGATAATGAAACGGCCATTATGATATTCCATACGAAGACATTCCAGTCAAGTAACGATCGTACGATTGAATGTGGCACAGAAAACGCATAGTCCTCATACATTAGATGGATTATGGAAAGCATGTTGCGAGGAGAGTTATGCTCTGAACATGACAATCTTACGGCGGAGAAGTTTGCAATGGGAACTGTGCTCCTGGTTTATAGTTAAGATCTGCTCATGACCGAATGTGGCAACATTGACTTAAAGATGTGGTGCTGCTCCAAATTCGTTTCAAAATGATGGGACAGCCAATTAACTTTGATTTATTTAATGAATAAAGAAAATCTCTATTATATTCAACTACAAAACTGTCTTCTGTTCTTTCAGACTCGTAATTTATTAAATAAATTTCTCAGTAATGTATCTCCATATTTCGAGGCATGAGTGTGGTTGGAATGCGTTCTGGACTGTGAATCCGAAAGTCCATGATTTACGTCCCTTTTCCATAAAATCGTGCTTCGCTCTTTGGAGGTGTGGGTGCGTTATAAGGGTGCTGGTCAAATCCCGCTATTCGATTGGAGTAATTCAAGAGCTGGTGGGGAATGCTGTTGACTAGGTACCTTCCCTCTGGTCAATCATTTCAAAATTATGGACAGCTAGCGCATATCTGAAACAAGTGAACAACAAACAAATCCACCATTTTGATTTTATTTCAGAAACTTAAGGCACCAAAATCTGTAACATATACAGGCGAGTTTTCAAAGTAATATGATGTTCTCTTCTCAAAGGCCTATGTGATTGGATTGTTTTATTATACAATATAAGGCATTCAACGGAAACTTAAGTTACAATGAAGGAAAGAATATACAAATTAAATTGATCAGGAACAGTGATTTTGATCAAGATAATAACTCTGAATAGTTTACAGTAGTTATATAAATTCTACTGAAAAATTGACATTTGACTATAATATTCTACTTAGAAACATTCAAATACAATTTTTCGGAAGCACAAAGTCAACTTTTGTCAACGGAAGTACTTGAAATGTCAAAGATCAGCGAAAACATCAGATTAAAGGTTCATACATTTTGACTGAATTCCGAATAAATCTTTTATTGTAGCTGAATATGTTTTTGAGAAAACTGTTCGTGAAGCAAACGTAGTATAGCAGTGGTCCAGCTTGTATTCAGAGGCAGGTAATGCTAAGATGCTAGAAACACGACAACTCCATTAGCGATAAGATATTAGAATACACGTAACACTGGAACACACAGAAATGAAAAAATGCGCTTTTACGAAGTCCTAAGGTTTACATATAACGTATATATATATCCGTTGAATTTCCTTTTTACGTTGAAAGCAACTGAACGTGAAAAATACAACTTTTTATGCATCGAATATTCTTAAGTTTATCCTTTCATTGTTGGCATAAACTTTGGACTGTATTTCTTCTGTATATGCTGTTTCACATTGTAAGTATTGTTGGTATGAACCTTTTATTGTATTTCTCCTTGATATCATATTTCGTATTGTAAGTATTGCCGTTATATACGTCTTACCATCTTTTACTTGGATACGTTATTTTGTATTGTAAAGTTACTGACATATGATAGAAATATTTTTATAGCGTTTTTCCTAGATATTTTATTTCGCATTGTAAATTTTGCTGGTATAAACGTTTTGCCGTCTTTTACTTGGATATCTTATTTCATATTGTAAATATTCTTTCAAACTGCTCGTAAGTGGAGTGAATCTGGACAAAGCACTGTCATGCTTTATTAAATATCAACATCAGAATATTCTTTCGTTACGTTAGTTAAGTGAGTTAAGTTTTCATGATTTTCTAATTTGCTTTTTGTTTATTTTCTTCTTATGTGCAAATAAAATTATATTTAAATGCAATTGAAGCTTGTCACTTGTTTTGAGGTTGGTCTAAGATTCTGACATACTTTCCAATTTCACTGAGCTTCTTACACTTTCAAAGAGTCTTTATGATATGTTCAGGATGGTTATAGTTCCTTGAATGTGTTCTGAGAGAACCAAGCTTCCTAAATGCTCAGAACGTTTTAACTTTCGCTTTTATTAATGTACTCAGAGTAGTTTGAACTTCTCATATATGTTCAAAATGGTTTGAGCTTTATGCACGTGCTCAGAGCGTGTGGTTTGAACTTTTGCTATGTAATATATGAGTGGCTGATCTATTCACAGAGTGATTCAAGTTACTCAGCTATTTTCAAGCTCTTCGAGTTTTTACATCTGGTCATAACATTTTTTAACTGTTTACGTATATTTATAGAACTCAGCCATTCGTAATTTTTGTTTGGGATTGACAGTTTTTTCAAATAGCCTGTATCCTGAAAGTAATGTACTCATCACGTTGACAATCATAAATTTTGTTCAAGAAATTTTAGACAGGATTTTCTGTCATTATGAATCAGCATATCAAACCTTATATATAAAGGAAGCCAATGAAAGTATTATTCGTTCTGGACCATGCTCATTGTTCATCACAATATCATGCTCCTGAGACGCATTTTTATTCAAATCAAAAATTTCGTATTGTTGAAAGAAAGCAGAGAAATAAAAGTAATACTATTTTGCGAGAAAAGCGATGTACGTAAGCAGTATAATATGGTTTTGGAACACTCTGTACGAATCAAAATATTTTCTTATTAACACTTATCTTTCTCAATGTATTATTTAAAGTATATAGTAATTTTATATTATATTATTTAAAGCATGTAGTAATGTTATATGATATTATGTATTATAATTTTATACGCCCCCCCAGTGGCACAGCGGTATGTCTGCGGACTTACAACGCTAAAATCCGGGTTTCGACACCCGTGGTGGGCAAAGCACAGATAGCCCAT